CATCCTTCCCAGGTTGGGTCTTTTATTTCCTTCTCTAACCTGAGGATCTTTGCGGTCCCTTCTAGTCCTGACAGTGTTATCCGCTCGCTGTGGGACATACCGCTCCGGACGAGAACTGGGGGGATGGAGGGGCCCAGTGAGAATGAGAAAAGGACGCGAAAAGCGGGCCAGAGGCCTGAAGCTGGGCCGGGGCCCGTGGGGCTCTAAAGCATCAAGGAACCCGATTAGGTCCGCGAGGTCCCGGCGGGCGGATTCCCGTGGCGCGGCTGCTGCGCCGGTCGGCCGGCTGGGTTCATGCGAGTCCCAGCTTAGATTTGCCTGGGTTGGTGTGGCGGGTTTGGATGGGTGTGGCAGGCGATGAGAGTACCGCAGAGGGTGGGCCGAGCACACAGACTGCTCTGTCCAGTTGTTCTGGGGGCCCCTGGTGTGGGAGCGTGTGCGCTCTGTCCATCCCGTTACCTCCGCCCCCAGTTTCCCTTGGCCCCCAGCCCGGTCTTGGCGCCTCTGGCCTTGGGATTTTCCGTCTCTCCTGCCTGGAGCGGTGACTCATAAGACCCAGGGGATTTGCCCGGAATCCCCTTTTTTAAGTCCTGAATTGGGGACACAGACTTTTTGGGGACAGTGTACTCCAGAACAGCTGAATGCCCTCTTGTGCAGCGCCCCCTCCCCACTCTCATTCTCTGCCTCTTCCCCACTGAATAAGTTCTCATGTGAATTTGGGCAACACTGAGGACGGTAGGGGGCCCTATACTTGCTCATGGGTCAGAGGAGAGGCAGACAGCCCACAGCTAGCCAGCCTGCCCTCTCCCCAGGCATTTGGGAAAGGCATCAGCCTGGGCTTGAGACACCACTGGCAGATTATAGGACATCATGGCTACTCCCAGTCCCACCTATGCACAGATGCCACTCCCAAGTCGCCCCTTTTCTCCCTCTGCATGAGGCCTGGGACCCCAGTGCACGGCTGAGCCTCTGCCAGACCCCTACTCCTAGAGGGTGTCATTTGCAGGCCGAGCAGCCCAAAGTCCTGAGCGCTGTGGAGGACCGCATGGATGAGCTGGGTGCCAGCATCGCACAGTCCCGGCGCACGGTGGCCCTCATCAAGGTCAGATCCCGTCCTAACCCCCACCCCAGTCCACTCCTGCAGCAGGCTCCTGGCAGCATCTCCCCCCACCTGGCATAGATACAGGGCCGTTCGTGCTGGTGTCTCTGTCCCTACAAGAGGACAGAGTGGGAAGGTGGGATCTGGGAAGGATGGCCAAAACAGTGACGTTCTTTGCCCTCATCTCTGTCCCCTCTGTCGTCCTGTGCAGAGTGCAGCCGTGGCAGAGCGGGAGAGGGTGAGCCGGCTGTTTGCTGAGGCTGTGGCCATCCTCCAGAGGTTCCAGACAGAAGTGCTGGGCTTCATCGATGAGGGGGAGGCGACCATGCTGGGCCGCTCCCAGGGCGACCTGCGGCGGCAGGAGGAACAGCGTGGCCGGCTCAGCCGGGCCCGCCACAACCTCAGTCAGGTCCCCGAAGCTGACTCAGTCAGTTTCCTGCAGGTGAGGGCAGCTCTGCGGGCCAGAGAGGGCACAGAAACGGGTAGGAAAGAGGTGGAGTGAGGAGAGGGCAGGGGGTGCCTGGCCTTTGGGGCTATGCCAGCCTCCTAGCAGAGCTGTCCCCCACCCAGCTGGGAGGAGCTGTGGCCAGCAGGGCCTTAATGGGCATTTGTCTGGCACAGGAGCTCCTGGCACTCAGGCTGACCCTGGAGGAGGGGTGTGGCCCTGGGCCTGGTCCCCCGCAGGAGCTCAGCTTCACCAAGTCATCCCAGGCTGTGCGGGCAGTGAAAGACGTGGTGGCTTCAGCCTGCACCAGGCAGTGGGAGCGGCTGCGGGGGCTGAGCAGTGACGAGGACGGGCTGCAGAAGCCAGGCACAGAAGGTGGGTGCCCCTCGAGTGACTCACCCTTGCCCAGACTTTCTGCACAGGCCCCCAGGCCTGGTGCCCATTCAGGAGTGGAGGATGGAAACTGTGCCTCGCATGGGGTGGGACCCAAAATCCTGCCTGTGACTGAAGCCACCACCCTGTAATCACGAGTCAGCCCCTCTGGCCACAGCCCAGCGGGTAGAGAGGGCCTCCCCAGTCCACCCTCCAGCTTCAGAAGGGCTGAGACCCAGAGAGGGAATGGATTGGGGGCAGAACCCAAGGACCAGGCATGTGGATGAACACAGGGCACCATATTTGGACGTGTGCCTGTCCCCAGGTGGCTTGAGATGATGGGAGGATGAAGGAGGAGGTCCCAGGTTCAGAAGGGGGTCACCCTTGCACAGCAGCTGGGCCACGGGCCGCTGAGGACACCCCCTCCCACTGTCTCCTCTTCTGCAGCAGATACTGAGTCCCAGGACCCTGATAGCACCAACAACCTGGAGAGTGAGGCTCCCCGGGATTACTTCCTCAAGTGTAAGTAAACACCTGAGCTCACGCCTCTGCTCACTCTGGGCCCTCCCAAGCCTGCTGGGCTGGGTCCTGGCACAACAGGGCTTGGATTCCTCTCCCTCATTTATGGGGTGAACTAGATCAGCTCAGGGGATACTCCCCAGGGTGGCTGAGTTGTGCTGATTGCAGAGGAGGGGAGATGCTGTGTTTGGGCAGGTGGGGCACCTAAGGGAGGGGCCATCCCACTTGACCTTGAACCTGAGCCCTGCGTCTCTCTCCCCTCTGTGGGAGCAGTTGCCTACATTGTGGACCTGGACAGCGACACAGCAGACAAATTCCTGCAGCTGTTCGGAACCAAAGGTGTGAAGAGGGTGCTGTGTCCCATCAACTACCCCGAGTCGCCCATCCGCTTCACCCACTGTGAGCAGGTGCTGGGCCAGGGCGCCCTGGACCGGGGCACCTACTACTGGGAGGTGGAGATCATCGAGGGCTGGGTCAGTGTAGGGGTCATGGCTGAAGACTTCTCCCCACAAGAGCCCTACGACCGGGGCCGGCTCGGCCGCAATGCCCACTCCTGCTGCCTGCAGTGGAACGGACGCAGCTTCTCCGTCTGGTTCCACGGGCTGGAGGTGGCCCTGCCTGACCCCTTCTCGCCCACGGTCGGGGTCTGCTTGGAATACGCTGACCGAGCCCTGGCCTTCTATGCCGTGCGGGACGGCAAGGTGAGCCTTCTGCGGAGGCTGAGGGCCTCCCGGGCCCGCCGGAGCAGCACCCCAGCCTCCCCCGTGGACCCCTTCCAGAGCCGCCTGGACAGCCACTTTGCGGCGCTCTTCACGCGCAGGCTCAAGCCTGCCTTCTTCCTGGAGAGCGTGGATGCGCATCTGCAGATCGGGCCCCTCAAGAAGTCCTGCATATCCGTGCTGAAGAGGAGGTGATGCGGGGGCACAGAACTGCCCCAGTGTCTGGGGAGCTTGCTTCTCTGCACTCGCCTTGCCCCAGGGAAGGCACCGGCCTCGGAGTCCCACACGTTCCCCAGCCTTCTCCTTTCTAGAGGCCTCCACCTTCCAGATACGTGGCCTTCCACCTCCAGGGAGGAGGCTCCCCAGTCCTTGTGCCCCTGCAGGCCTTGTTTCTGGGAGAAGGAGCCACATCTCAGTCAGCCCCAGGCTGCCCTGACCCTTCCTCTCCCAGGTTCCCGGGCCAGTGCCTGGCACATAGTAGGTACTCAATAAACATTTGTTGACTGACTGATCCCTTTTCTACCCTTCTCTCCACCCACCAAGAATTCCCAGTGCTTCTCATCTTTCAAGAGCTGGTCCTGCTGGGAGGGAGAGCCCTGGCCTGGGAGGAGCGGGCTGAAATGAGGTGCCTCAACTTGGGGCACCCCTACTCCCTGGTTCTGGGCAGGGGCAGCTAGAGGTGGCTTCTTCTGTAGGGGCCCAGCCCCACAGTCATTCCCACTGCCCGAGTGTTTACTTTGGAAGGTCTGGTTCCCATCAGCTATTTTCATCCTTGATGCCACGGCTGAGTTCTGGGCCTACCTAATGGTGTTTGTGCCCAGGATTAAATGCAGACCTCACACCCTCGAGAGCAGAGCATGACTCTTGGGTGTGGGTGAGAAAGTTCCAGACCTATAGTTTCATACACATACCTTCTCAGCCCAAGAGGGACAAGGACATGACTGAGCTGACCCCAGGATGTGGCTGGAGCTGAGGACTTCTACGCTCAAAGGACGCATGTCTTCCTTTGGAATCTGCCTCACATCTCCCTACCACGCTGGGGAGACCCGGGGCCCTGCGCCCCAGCAGACCTCTGCTTCTCTCCCAGGAAGGCTCAGTGCTCCCTGCTGCCCCAGAACCTCCATCCCATCTTGGGATACCCACATTCTGCTTTCAAGGGGAAGACTTGCTCCCTGAGGCTACAAGGTGAGTGTGTTCCCAGGCCAGGCCCTCCTCCCTGGGTTCTCTGTGACTCAGGTGCGGCCCAGGGAGCGCCTGACCTAGAGAGCAGGAGCAGACAAAGACCTCTCAGCCCTGGCCTGAGGTCAGGCGGGACAGAGGGTGACTTATGCAGCCAGACAGCAAGGCCATACAAGTCCTGCATCGCTGCCTCACCAGCTAAAAATAGCCCCTCCCACAGAGCCTGCTTGTGCCCTAGCAGCCAGGATGTTGTTTTTCCAGGCGGTGCCTCCTGGCTCCTGGTGCTCTGTGTTCTTAACACGGTTTCCTTGACAGCCATGGGGCCTGGGGCAGATGGAGGAGGCTGCTCCTGTCGCTGTCTCAGCGTGGACCAGTGGGGGCTTCCTACAGTTCCCTCACCTCTGGGAGCCTCCCACCTTCATAGGGTCCCTCCCACTCCCCAGCCTGGCACTCCTCACCCACACACTCCCTTTACAGAGAACCCTCAGGTCCCTGATCCTGCAGGGTCCTGGTGTGTCACAGAATGTGGATTAGACTGATGGGGTTGGAATTCAGGCTTCCTGGTTGGAATTTGGGCCTGACTAGTCAAATCTGCAGTCACAGCATCCCTGCCACTTGCAGAATGATTGGCATCATCCAAAGATTCATGTAACCTTGTGCAACTTAATCTTAAATCCCAGTGTTAACAGATTTACAAGGAAGGGGACTGTCTTGCCAAGGGCTGCACAGCTCCCACGTTGCTGGCTGGGCTGACCCCAGGTTTTTTAGTGTTAACCCCTTCCTCAGCCCGGAGCATTACTTGCAACCCTGCTGCACTTTCTGTGACTCTAGGATAAGATGGGGTGTGTGTAAGTCTAAGTGTTTCTGGGTGTATCTCTTTGCCTATGTGTGTATTTGTGTAAGTGTCTATGTGTATCTATGTTGTGTGTCTCTGTGTGTCTGTCCTCATGCCTCTGTGTATGTATGTGTGTCTGTTGTGTGTGCATTAGTGTATATGTCTGCCTGGGTGTGTGTGCATTTGTGTGTGTGGATGCAGCCCAGTGACTTTTCAAACATGCTCTGAGAACACCTGGAATTCTGAGGAGATTCACTGGGGCAGGGCTGGCTGGCGGATTGGGAGGGGGACACCAGGGGGTGAGCCCTTCCCTGCCCCTGCCAACACTTACCCAAGATGGCTTGCAAAAAGGAGAAGCTATTAAAAAGATAAAGTGTTACAAAACCATTGATCTAGTCCAAACCTCTCCCATCACCTTTTCCAGGTGAAGGAACTGAGGCTGAGAGACAAGAGGAGTTGCCCAAGGCTCCTCAGGCCACAGGACCCCTGCTCCATGTTCCATGGCTTAGATATGTCCTGCGCTTAGAAATGTCTACACACACACACACACACACACACACCCTGCTTCCCAGCGCCATCGCCTATGTAAGAGCTGCCCTCAGCCCAGGGCCCAATTTCCACGGCCACCAGAGCCCTTCCTTGGCAGAGCTGCCAGAGGATCTGTGGTCCCCAAAGCTCCAGTCGGAGCCCCGCCAGCTTCAGACAACAGCGGACAGCACAGCGTGAAGGATCTTTTGAGGCTGTGTTGCTATTAGCTGAATCTGGCTCCTTTGGGACAGGCAGGGAGCCAACCACCACTTGAGCTTTGTTTCTGTGGGAAAATGAGCTCCGAAGTTCCAAACAACATTCTGATCAACGGACTTAAGCATCGTTTCCCTCTCCGCAGCTGCAGGCTGCTGGGTCCTACAAGGCTCAGTGCTTCCTCCTCCACCCCCCAACCAATTCAGGGAAGAAAGAGAGGCATCCTCTTCCCTCCCTCCTCCTCCTCCTCCATCCCCTCTCAAGAAACTCTCAGAAGTGCTTTCCTTCACCTCTCCTCCTCCCAGGCACAGGGTGAGGCTGGACCGAGACTGTGGCTAAAAAGGAGAGCCTGGCCTGGAAGATGGGGCTGAACTGGGAGGGTCAGCGATTTGCAGGCGGCTCTACTGGTGCTTGGTTTTCTCCCCTGGGAAGAAAACAGCCTTCAGCTACAGGGTCTGTCCCATTCAGCCCCACGCCCAAGCCCAACACTCATTCCCATTTGATGCTAACATTCAAAATCTGAAACACGAGGTCACTTCCTTTCTGCACCATCACATCTCCTGGAAGGTCTCTAAGAACTGCAGGAGGGGCCCTGGGTGGTCCTCATTGGCTTCTCCCGGGTGGAAGCCTCGCCCTCCTTCCTGGCGTTCTCAGAGAAGGGACCAGGAAGGGAGCGCACACCCCAACACAGCTCAGAACCCAGCACTGAGGCAGGCAGGACGTATTGGACAGATTCTTTGATGTCCTGTGTACTTTGTCTTTAAACAACAGTTTTTGAATTTCACTCCATCATATCTCTTGATTTTGCTTTAATATAAAGGACAATGCTTCTCTGCCCTGGCAGTGGAGAATGGTGTTGTGTGTGAGTTCTGGAATCAGAAAGTCTCGGCTAAAAGTTCCACTTCAGCGATTTCCCTAGCTGTGTGTCTTTGGGCAGGGTACTTAGCCTCTCTGTTCCTCGCTTTCCTCACTTGTAAAATACGGATAATAGTAGAACAGCATGCACAGGTACAGAGAATAAACAGGTGATTGCCAGAAGGGAGCAGGTTGGGGGAGGCGAGAAACAGGTAAGAGAGATTAAGAGCAGGGCTGTACTGGGGGAAGGTATAGCTCAGTGGTAGAGCCTGTGCTTAGCAGGTATGAGGTCCTGGGTTCAATCTCCAGCACCTCTAGTTAAAAAAAAAAAGAATAGAACTGCATGGCATTATCTTGAGCATTAAATGAGGTCATTTAGGCAAAGCACTTGGCACAAATCTGGCACAGGTTGAGCTTTCAATAAGTGTTATTGTTATTATTTCTCTTGAATGATGAGTAAAATCGATACTCTTGGAAGTCTTTGCCAATCCTTGGGAGATCCCTGGATTTGTTCTTCAGGAGCTAAGATTAGCCCAGACCTAAATTTGTGAAGATGCTACATCTTGACCCACCCACTAAGACTGGAAATTTTCATTCACTCATTCAACAGTATTTATTCGGCATGGGGCACTGTACTCAGGGCTAGGGATACAGCAGTGAGTGACCCAAGCAGAGATGCCTGGGCCCTCGGGAACCACGCAAACAGCCACATGATAATTGCGGCTATAGTAAGTACTGTACGAGAAAAGGGCAGGGACTCCACCCTTGGGACGTGCCCCAAAGAACCAAAAGCAGGGGCTGGAACAGACATTTGCACACCCATGTTCATAGCAGCACTATTCGCAATAGCCAGAGTGCCCATGGTTGGACGGATGGGTGGATGGATAAGCAAAATGCGGTCTGAATAGACAATAGAATATTATTTAGCTTTAAAAAGGAATGAAGTTCTGACACATGCTATCACAGGAATAAACCCTGAAGACATTAAACTAAGTGAAATAAGCCAATGCGAAAGGGCAAATCTTGTATGTTTCCACTTAGATGAGGCATCCAGACTAGGCAAGTTCATAGACAGAAAGTAGGAGGGTGGTTACCGGGGGCTGGGGAGGAGGGATCGGGGAGTGAGTGTTCAGTGGGGTCGGAGTTTCAGTTTGAGATGATGGAGAAGTTCTGGAGATGGGTGATGGTGATGGCTCTACTGCAGTGTCATTGTACTTAATGCCACTGAACTGGACACTTAAAATGATCGATTTTATGTGATGTATACAGTGTATTTTACCTCTGAGGCGGAGAAAAGTTTTGCCTCCCATACATTACAAAACAAAACAAAACACAAATTTCCTTTGAACAGGAAAAAAAAAAGGAAAAAGATAGTGGTCATGAGAAGGGGCCCTATGAGGGCTGGGGGAGGGGCGTTTCCAGGGAGGACTGCCCTGAAGGGACAGCTGAGACTCGTTAGCAAGACAAAGGATGGGTGTGGGCTCCGGACAGAGCACTCTAGGGGGCCGAAGTAAGGAGAGCAAGGGGCAGGAGGTGGCTGGCGAGCCTGGCCGAGCAGAGCCTGGTAAGTGTTCTGGAGTTTTCTTCGGGGAAGTGGAAAGCCGTGGTGGGGTCTCACTAGGGTAAACAATACAATCAGATTTGAAAGTTTAAAATCACTCTATAATTTAAGTGAGAGATGGGCTTAAGGAGGGAAAAAGAGGATGAGAGAGGGGGGTTTTCATCTCCCTGGGGAGACGGGGAGGAGCCCCCCAACTCTTGGAAGGAGGATCCAGAAATAGCAGGGAGGGGTCCGGATGCACAAGAGCCCTCTTCCCCCCGACCCGGCCCCTCCCATCCTGAGCTCCCTCCTGCAGAGGGGTCCCTCCAGGCGTGGCTTTCCCGTGCTAGGGTGGGGAC